TACGGAGAGCACAAAATGTCTAATTATGCACAGTGTGTGTGCTGTATGAAGTGAGCACGTTGTCAGATCATGCTTATGTGATTATTACCCTTTTCACAGACAACCATGGTGTATTTCATGAACTATAAAGAGTTGTTCTGCTACTACTAATGTGTATTTCGGCATTTGAGACCTAACACAAGTCTCTTGTGATTGAAAACACTGATCATTTGTGATTTATGACAACCGTGGTGCGTGGTGCTCTGACCACCGGTGTAGTGAACATATAAATGGCTAATGAGCAGCCGCAGACTGAACTGTGAAGGCGGAGTTGGTCTATCTCCAGGGCCAAATTAACCAATGGGCATTATGGCCACAGACCCAGGGGCCTATCCGCACTTAGATTTTGCCTACTCTTTTCCCAGAATATAGTAGGGGTAACAAGCTTTTCTGCAAATGCCCTTGCATTTTTGACACTGTTAGCAAGACGTTGTATTCTGTTATTATGGAAACAAAGATTTCCTCCGACTTTTGACAACTGGTTGCGAGATGCAATGAGCTTCATCCACTTGGAAAAAATTAGGTTTACACTAAATGGCAATACTAGGGCCTTTTCTAAAACATGGGACCCATTTAGACTTTTTTTTCTGAGCATGTCACATGATTAGGTACTTTATAAATATCCGAGGACTCATTTTTTAAAATTTTGAGTTATTTATTTAATTTTTATTTTTTATAATTTGTTCATTTTATTTACTTAATTGTTTTTATTTATTTGATTATTATTTTGTTATTATCATGAGTAATTTTTTTTCTTCTTTCTTTAAATGATAAATGTAATTTCAACTTGTGTAGAGGGTAGGGGTGGGAATAATATTTGTTTAAATTTCTCTGTAAAAATACTTTGTTGTATCTGAAAAGTTTAATAAACAAATTATATATATTAAAAAAAAGATTTTGCCTACTTTTCATCACGAGGAAGACAAGTAATCATTAACAAGTGTGTGTATTATGGAGGACTCATATTCCTAGAGCTGGATTGGAGAGGTGTTATCGATTTCATGTGCATTTTAAGTTTGTAGAAGGTATACATTAAAATATCCTTAAATATACATTTTAGTACTGCTTCAGTGAACTTGAACAAGTATATTAAAATCCATTAATTTCCCCTAGTTGTATTAGTATTTTTTTTGTGCTTTAAATGCTTTAAAAATAAGTTAAATCTTTGTAGACTAGAAATGTAGTGTATATCATTTATTTAAAAATGTGGGCAATACATTATAGATTAATTTTATATAACAAATATTATATTAAGCTTATTTAATAATTCAACTATGGGGTGCGGCTATAGGGGGCCTACAAGACATTGTGCCCAGGGGCCTCTGAATTATTAATCCGGGCCTGTCTATCTCCATTTGCAGAGTTATTTCATTTTACTTCGTTATAAACAGCAGACTTGTGCAAAAGGGGGGTTTGGGTGCTCGAGCACCTGCCCTTTTTTCTCTCTGAGAGAAAGTTTCCTGTCCTTTGCACACAGATCCCCTATCCGCACCACCCACAACGCTCTTCAGCTTCGCAATCAACCCTTGCCTCAATTGTTAACCAGATTAATTAACAAGCACCAGTTTTGCCTTCAAAATATTTTCAATATGAACAACCAACTTTCTGTGATACTGTAATCTCCCTGAGTGACATTCTACTATGCTGCTGAGGAGTAGTTGATGTCTGCAGCACAGAATAAGTCACATGACATAACCGTTCACACTGCAGTCGCATTGCAAAACATCAGATCTGTGTCTGATTTAAGACTACATATGAAAGTGGCATTATACACTCTCAGAAATATTTATATAAAATCTGTCACCAGGGTGGTACCTTTTCAAAATCTAACAGATCCTTAAAGCTACATATTAATGCAAATGTGTAGATAAAAAGTACAAATGTGCACCTCATAGTAACTTAAATGTAAAAAAGTGTACTCTAAAGGTACTAATGTTCCCCCGTACAGTACAAAAGTGTACCTTTTAAAAAGGTTCCACCCTAGTGACAGATTTTGGACCTTTATTTCTGAGAGTGAACTTGGTTTGGAAAATATAATCAATGTTTTGTGTTTCCTAGTACTGGGTTGCAGCTGGAAGGGCATCCGCTGCGTTAAACATGCTGGATAAGTTGCCGGTTCATTCCGCTGTGGCAACCTCTAAAATAGAGACTAAGCCGAAGGAAAATTAATGAATAAATAATTAATTAATTAATATTATTTTTGTAATATGAATGAAATAGGCCTAATAATAATAATAATAATAATAATATAAACAAAGATAAATTACAGCAAAATAAATAAGAATTTTCAATTACTACTAATTTAATCACATTTTTATTAGTTTACTTTATTTTTTTATTTATTTTTGGCCGATTTTATATTGACTTTCATTAAAAGTTTTTTTATGAAAGTCAATTTATTTTGTTGAAATGAAAATAAAGTCCATTATTTTAAATACATTCTCAGACATTTGGAGATCAGTTTTTTCTCTTTTATATGATGTAAATGATCTAAACAACCTATTGTAATTTGGGAACAACTTATTTTTTCCCCATAAATAACAGAAGTAAAAAATAATACTGACTCTGTATGTCAGACGATCTTTTGACAACACCTTAAAGAATTTCTTGATCAGTGTTTTCATTCTTCTGTCTTTGACTTTTTACCCACATTTTCAGCACACTTCCTTTTTAGATGCATAATAACTCATTAATTCAGCAATAAATGGGAAAACTAAAGATTGATTCTGTTGATTTTGAAAGACTCTTTTCTGCTCACCAAGGCTGAGTTTATGAATTCAAGAATACATGCATAATGTGGAATATTATTTGACTTTAAAAATTTTTTAATAATTTATTTCATTCATTCATTCATTTTCTTTTGGGCTCAGTCCCTTTATTAATTCAGGGTTACCACAGCAGAATGCACCGCTAACTTATCCAGCACATGTTTTACACAGCGTATGCCCTTCCAGCTGCAACCCATCTCTGGGAAACATCCATACACACTCATTCTAACTCATACACTACAGACAATTTAGCCTATCCAATTCACCTGTACCGCATGTCTTTGGACTGTGGGGGAAACCGGAGCCTCCAGAGGAAACCTACGCAAATGCAGGGAGAACATGCAAACTCCACACAGAAATGCCAACTGACCCAGCGAAGGCTTCTTGTCTTGTCTCGAACCAGCGACCTTCTTGTTGCGAGGCGACAGCACTACCTTATGCACCACCGTGTTGCCCTAAAAATGTATTTATGATATTGAAAGCTGAAATTTCAGCAACTGTCCTTAGTGTCGAGTTGTTTTTATTAATTATTGTATTATCAGTGTTGAAAAAAAAAAAAACTAGTTCTGCTTTATATTTTGGTTGAAATTTGTAATTCAGAAGAAGCACTTTCAGTGTTTTCGACATTCTCCTCATGCTGAAATATGAAATTATGTGTGGTTTGTAATATAAATATTTAATTTATATATATATTTGTATGTATATTTATGCATGTATATATATATATATATATATATATATATATATATATATATATATATATATAAAACGAATTAATATTTTGTATGTTATTAATGAATATTATTTTTATTATTAATAAAATAGGCCTAAGAGTAATTGCAGAAATACTAAAATAATTAATGAAAATATAAATAAAGTTTCTCAGTGATGGCTGGCAGCTGGAAGGGCATCCGCTGTGTAAAACATATGCTGGATAAGTTGGCAGTTCATTTCGCTGTGCCCCCTGATTAATAAAGGGACTAAGCCGAAAAGAAAATGAATAAATAAATAAAAATAAAAATGAATAAATAAATGGCTGTAAAATAAATAAGAATATTCTATTATTACTATTTTAATCACATTTTTGTTCATTTACTTTATTTTATTATTTATTTTTGTCTATTTTTAAACTGACTTTCTGAAAAAAGTCCCAGCGACAAGAGTTTTTTCAACTTATTCTGTTGAAATGACAATAAAGTCCATTACTTTAAATGCATTTTCAGGCATTTGGAGATTTTCTTTTTGGGAAATGATGTAAATGATCTAATCAACCTATTGTAAATTGGAAACTATTTGTTTTTCCCCAATAAAAATAACATAAATAACTAAATATTATAGACTGTATATGTCAAAGACAGACGGTCTTTTGACCAAATCTTGAAGAATTACTAAAAGAACTTTTTTCATTCTCCTCTCTTTGACTTTTTACTCTTTATTTTCAGCACATTTTCTTTTTAGATGCTTAATAATTCATTAAATCAGCAAGAAATGGGAAAACTAAAGGTCAAAAATGGAAGATTTTGGAAAGTCTCACCAAGGCTAATAACTATTTTCTATTTTTATATAATTAATTCATAATATCGAAAGATGAATTTTCAGCATCTTCACCCGTCCTTGATCTCACATAGTTTTTATTAATTATCGTGCTCAATCATTGATAATAATTCTTATTACCCATGTTGAAAAAACTAATTGTGCTTCATATTTTGGTGGAACTTTATTTGATTAATTGAAAAATAAAAATCCACTATTTATTTGAAATACAATATATATTTACATTTTTAATTGTCCATTTTGATCAATTGTTTGTTGTTAATTAACAAAAATAATTTAAAAGAGAAAGAAAAACTCTTGAATAGAATCAAACATCTCAGTTTTTTGTAAAACTACAAACCTTTTAACATAGATAAATAAATTTTTATTGCCAAGCAAATTAGCTTATTGTAGTTATGGAGTGATGATAAAAATTCAGCTTTGCATTACAGAAATAAATGACCTCTTTAAATATATTTTAATTTATTTGTAAAAAATTACACTATATATTACATTGCTGTTTTAGTGCAATAAAAGCAGCCTTGGTGAGCAAAAAGAGACTTCTTAAAAAATAAACTTTAATATCTCCAAACTTTTAACCGACGGGCATCAACTTTTAGCATTTTTATAAAAATATAAATAAAAAAATATGTATCTTACATGTAAACTCCGTTAATCGCAGCACTGCGTCCACGCATTTTCCATTTATTGCGCTGATGTAAATCCAAAATCCCAAACTGATCCATGATGGGTATAAACCCCAATCCCAGAAACAAAGAGGAAGAAAAAAAATCCGTGAAACACTCTTGGGTAATTTCTCAAACTATCTCAAATGCTGTAGATAAACAAGTTTTCGTTGAAATTTGGATCCCCAAAAAAACGCTTTACTCCTAAATCCCACACAACGCTCATTTTACGCGTTTTGCGCACTCCGAATTTAAAGTTTTTCTATATCTCCCCAGCATTCGCATGCATGAAACTCTGCATCCAAACGTTGTCTGTGCTTCCCATCAGAGATTTGAGCGCATTTTTAGCCCATTTGAGGATTTCTCCGGTTTGTTTGGCGCTCAGCTGCAGTTTGCGCTTCACTCTGTGCGCGGGAACTGTTGCCAAACACTGTGCGCGCGACCGTGGAGGATTACGCGCATCACCAAAACGCGCATCTCCAAACGAGTTACAGATCAAGATAAGAAAAATGACTTTTTTTTATTAACTAATGATTTCATTCTGCGTTTTTTGACAAGTTCATAATCTTGAGTTCGCTTTATTAGAAACACAGCATGCTTTATGTGAAAAACAAAACATACAAACATTAAAAGTAGCTAAATGTGTTTTAAATATTTCTTACGGTTATTTAGCATAAATATCCTTTATACGACATGAATATCACAGTGCAATCAATAAAATATATAAATACAAATATATTTTCGCTGAAATCCTACAGATCAATGGAAATCTGTCCATGAAGAAAACATTTATTATGCAGTTTCTCCCTCTAGTGGCCTTAAGAAGACATGCCGTAATTAAATATGTCTTATTATATATATTTGTCTCTTTCGTTTTTAAATATAAACAACTTTTTACATTTTTTTGCAATCCTGTTCATAACAACTCTCTTATTACCATCATACTGCAGCGCTTGTATTGTTTTTAAAGGGTTAGTTCACCCAAAAGTGAAAAATCTGTCGTCATTTAGTTACCCTTTACTTTTTCCTTCAGCTTAGTCTCTTTATTCATCAAAGGTTACCACAGCGGAATGAACCGCCAACTTATCCAGCATATGTTTTATTCAGCGGATGCCCTTTCAGCTGCAACCCAATACAGGGAAACACCCATACACTCTCATTCACACTCATACACTACAGCCAAGTTTATTCAATTCACCTGTAGTGCATGTGTTTTGACTGTGGGGGAAACCAGAGCAACCGGAGGAAAGCCATAGGGAGAATATGGGGAGAACATGCAAACTCCACATTGAAATGCCAACTGGCCAGGTTGGGACTTGAACCAGCGACCTTCTTGCAGTAAGGTGACGGTACTAAAAACTGAGCCACCGTGTTGCCCTGTTTCAAACATTTATGGGTTTATTTCTTCTGTTTCTGAAATAAGCTGAAAACCTGTAACCATTGACTTAGTACTTGTTTTTCCTCCTATGGAAGTCAACGGTTACATTTTTGCTCCGAAATGTCTTATTTTGTGTTCAGCAAGAAAAAAAGAAACTTACAAAGGTTTAGAACCACCTGAGGGTGAGTAAACACTGCAAACATTCATTTTAGGATGAACTGTCCCTTTAAATATGTTCTCCTCTAGTAATTCTCAGTTTGATCATTCATTTTCTTTTTGGCTTGTCCCTTTATTAAACAGGGGTCGCCAAAGCGGAATGAACCGCCAACTAATCCATCATATTTTTTATGCAGCGGATGCCCTTCCAGCTGCAACCCAACACTGGGAAACACCCACACACACTATGGTCAATTTAGCTTTACCCAAATCACCTATAGCGCATTTCTTTGGACTGTGGGGAGCAGCCAGAAGAAATCCGCGCCAACACAGGGAGCACATGCAAACTACACACAGAAATACCAACTGACCCAGCCGGGGCTCGAACCAGCGACCTTCTTGCTTTAAGGCAATCATGTTACCCACTGCTCCACCGTGTCGCCCCAGTTTGATAATATCTAGATTAAACGAAGACACAAATTAAGAAGGCTTCCATAAGTGCTAGAGCAAGCTTTAGTATTTATAGGAACACCAGGCATCAGTTACCTATGGCTGCTGCTAAACCTTTCATAAATACAATCATCTTCCCATGTTTATCTTATTGCCCTTTAATTGTATTGAGCAACATAAATTAGTAACATTCATTCATTCATTTTCCTTGAGCTTACTCCCTTTATTCATCAGGGGTCGCCACATTTTACACAGCGGATGCCCTTCCGGCTGCAACCCAGTACTGGGAAACACCCATACACTCTCTTAACACTCATACACTACAGCCAGGTTTATTCAATTCACCTACAGCGCATGTGTTTGGACTGTTGGGGGAAACCGCAGTACCAGGAGGAAAGCGACGCACACACGGGGAGAACATGCAAACTCTAGACAGAAATGCCAGCTGACCCAGCTGGGACTCGAACCAGCGACCTTCTTGCTGTGAGGTGACAGTGCCAACCACTGTGTCGCCCTAAATTACTAACATTTGACAATTTTTTATTTTATGCTGATGTGTGTTTAATGTAATGTGGACTTGGAGAAGGCATTCGAATGAATGAATGAATGAATGAATGAATGAATGAATATGAGGATGAATGAATGACTGACTGACTGACTGACTGACTGACTGACTGACTGACTGACTGACTGAATGAATGAATGAATGAGTTAATGAATTAATGAATAAATTAATATGAGGATGTATGAATGAATAAATGAAGGAATGAAAGAAAGAAAGAATGAATGAATATGAGGATAAATGTATGAATGAATGAATGAATGAATGAATAAGTTAGTGAATGAATGAATAAATGAATATGAGGATGTATGAATGAATGAATGAATGAATGAATGAGTAAATTAATGAATTAATGAATAAATGAATATGAGGATGTATGAATGAATGAATGAATATGAGGATAAATGTATGAATGAATGAATGAATGAATAAGTTAGTGAATGAATGAATAAATGAATATGAGGATGTATGAATGAATGAATGAATGAATATGAGGATGAATGAATGAATGAATGAATGAATGAATGAATGAATGAACGAACGAATGAATGAATGAATGAATGAATGAGTAAGTTAATGAATTAATGAATAAATGAATATGAGGATGTATGAATGAATGAATGAATGAATATGAGGATAAATGTATGAAGGAATGAATGAATAAGTTAGTGAATGAATGAATAAATGAATATGAGGATGTATGAATGAATGAATGAATGAATGAATGAATGAATGAATGAATGAATGAATATGAGGATGAATGTATGAATGAATGAATGAATAAGTTAGTGAATGAATGAATAAGTTAGTGAATGAATGAATAAATGAATATGAGGATGTATGAATGAATGAATGAATGAATGAATGAATATGAGGATAAATGTATGAATGAATAAGTTAGTGAACGAATGAATAAATGAATATGAGGATGTATGAATGAATGAATGAATGAATGAATGAAGGAATGAATGAATGAATGACTTGGACACGCAGTTTAAAATCCACCCTCGTTTTAATGTTAAAAGTATATCAGATAAGTGTGATGAGTGTAAAGTTGCAGAAGATGTTTATGAAGTATGTACATTATTATGAAGTGTATCAAATATAAATCAGAAAGGAGGAAAAAAATTTATGATTTAGAACAATCATGGAATTTGAAATGATTATTGGGGCAATGAGAAAAATGTGGGAAATTAGCAAAGCTACCTTGAATTTCCTCAGAGATGCAGGACTGGAGCATATTATAATGGTCTTTTAGGAAAATGGTAGGATTTTTAACATTAATATTGTTAATTTTTATTTATCTTTGTAACCATAAAATGTACATGAGGGGCTGCACGGTGGCGCAGTGAGTAGCATGATCGCCTCACAGCAAGGTCGCTTATTCAAGCCTCGGCTGGGTCAGTTGTCATTTCTGTGTGGAGTTTGCATGTTCTCCCCGTGTTGGCATGGGTCCAAAGACATGTGGTACAGGTGAATTGGGTAGGCGGCTAAAGTTGTCCGTAGTGTATGTGCGTGAATGAGTGTGTATGGATCTTTCTTAGTCATGGGTTGCAGCTGGAAGGGTATCTGCTACGTAAAAAAAACATATGCTGTGTAAGTTGGCAGTTCATTCCGCTGTGGCGACCCCTGATTAACAAGGGGACTAATAAATTGAATGAATGAAAATGTACATGAACTCTTGAAATTGCATGTCCCGGAACCATAGGTGGCGGTATGCTCCTAAACAAGTTGGTGGAGATCCACAATTTGTCTCATGTAATGCCATCGTTCTGCCGGTGGTGGCAGCACTGCAGCTCGAAAGTGACCGATACACACAGTCGAGGAAGAAACCTCCAGATCAGTGTGCTAACACGCATTTGAGCATTAACTTATCTTCTTAGTTTAAGTTTTACTCAGTTAAAGAGAACCATGTCGGAAAGAAAAGTTTTAAATGTAAGTATATCCATCTTTAATTGACTACTGTTGTTGTGCTGCGACTTACGGTTGAATTAAAAAGTAACGTACTGCTGCTAACAGCAAGCTAATGAAGTAGCATCGCAATGTTTACGTCTATTTAATAAAAGTCTGATGAACTCATTTTAAATATGAGGTCATGTTTCTGGTGCACTTAAGACTTATGTTAAATCTAGTGCACTTAAAATTCATGTTTGTTATAAAAACGTTAGTTAATGCTCTCGAATGAATCCTCAAATAAGTGTTTACGGAGTGCACTACTGTAAGTTAGTAAATTTGTCATATTATGCTAACGTTAACTTAACGTTATGTCTTTGTTTTTCCTCAGAAATACTATCCCCCGGATTTTGATCCGTCTAAAATCCCTAAACTTAAACTTCCCAAAGACCGTCAGTATGTGGTCAGATTGATGGCACCGTTCAATATGAGGTGAGACGATTTATGTGAATGTATGCATATATGTTGAAGTCTGTTTTACAGTATATTCGTTCAGTGACAGCTTGTGACATGCTCCTTAATGTTTAACATGGTACTTTGAATATTCGGTCTGAAATCTCATGCAAGTATGACGTGATAACAACATTAGCAATATTATTAGTGTGTGTATTAATATTTCAATACACTCACGGTCACTTTATTAGGTACACCTTAATAGTACCAGGTTAGACCCCGTTGAGAACTGCCTTCGTGTCATAAATTCAACAAGGTACTGAAAATATTCCTCAGAGATTTTGGTCCATATTGACATGATAGCATCACACAGCTGCAGATTTGTCGGCTGCACATCCATGATGCCAATCTCCTTCCACCACATCCCGAAGGTGCTCTATTGGATTAAGATCTGGTGATTGTGGAAGCCATTTGAGTACAGTGAACTCTTCATGTTCAAGAAACCCGTCTGAGATGATTCATGCTTTATGACATGGTGTGTTATCCTGCTGCAATTAGTCAT